CTTTATAGATTCGAGATAGTAGACCTTTGTCTGAGGAAGAGCAGGTGAAGATTTTTTCCCACATTGTGGGTTGTCTCTTCACACTGCTGGTGGTGAAAAAGCTTTTCAATTTGATATGAACACATGTATTGATTCTTGGTACTATTTCTTGTGCCACTGGGGTTGTGTTCAGAAAGTCTTTGCCTACACCTACGTTGTCAAGTTTTACCTTTTTATTTTCCAGAAAATTAAGTGTTTCTGTTTGAACATTTAGATTTTTCATCCATTTTGATTTTAGCTTAGTACATGGTGAGAGAGACATGGGTGTAGACTCAACCTTCTGCATGTGGACAGCCAGTTTTCCCAGCACTATTTATTAGAGGCTGTCTTTCCTCCGGTGTATGCTTTTGGCCCCTTTGTCAAAGATAAATATCCAAGTATGCCTAGGGATATTTCTGCATCCTCTGTTCCGTTCCATCAATCCACATGTCTGTGTTTGTGCCGGTACAATTCTGTTTTTGTCTCTCTAGCTTTGTAGTATAACTTCAAATCTGGGATTGTGTCACCTCCTCTTTGTTGTGTTACTCAGGACTGCCTTTGCTATTTTGGTCTCTTCTAGTTCCATATGAATTTCAGGGTTGTCATCTCTAGTTCTGTGAAGAATATTGTTAGTATTTTGATTGGGATTGTGTTAAATTTGTATATCAATTTTGTAAGTATGGCCATTTTGACATATTTGTTCTACATATCCCTGAACAGGCAATATCTTTCCATTTTCTGATGTCCTCTTTGATCTTCTTTTTTTAGAGTACTATAATTTTTGTTGTAGAGGTCTTTACTTCCTCATGTTAATACCTAATTTAATTGATGTTACTGTGAAAGGTATTATTTTTCTAACTTCTTTCTCAATGAGTTCATTATCAGTATACCGGACACTACTGATTTTTGTGTGTTGATTTTATATCCTGCTACATTGCTGAATTTGGTTATTAATTCTAGGAGTCTCTTGGTGGAATTTTTTAGGTCTTTTGTATTAAGGATCATGTTATCTGCAAATAATGATAATTTGACTTCTTTTTCTTGCCCAATTGCTGGCTAATGTTTCAAGTACTAGAGTTTTTTTTCCTGTACCAGGAATTGATGTTGTTCCCCCAGCTCCATTTTACGAATGCAGAGACTGAGGCTTAGACAGGAGAAGCAGTTTGCCAGGAGTCCGGAAGCCTCCATTCGGTTCCTGTAGCTTCAACTACCATTCATTCAGCTTGTCAGGCAGGGGTGGTGCCACTGAGCTAAATCTCTGGCCCTTTGAGTACTATGTTGAACATGAGTGGTGATAGTGGACATCCTTATCTTGTTCCTGATTGTAGAGGGAAGACTTTCAGTTTTTCTGCATTTAATATGATGTTGGCAGACGGTTTGTCATGAATGGCTTTTATCAGATTGAGATAAGGTTCTTCTATACCTATTTTCTTCAGGGGTTTTATCATGAATAACTGTTGAATTTTGTCAAAGGGGTTTTTTCCTGCAACTATTGAGATAAGCATGTGATTTTGTCTTGTTTATTTTTGTTTCTGTTTATGTGATGTATTACATTTACTGATTTGTGTATGTTGAACCATCCTTGCATCCCTTCAGAAAAGCCTACCTGGTCATGAGCCTGTGTGCTCAGCTACACCCCCAGAACTTTTTAATTTTGTTGGTTTTTTTTTGAGACAGGGTTTTGCTAAATCATCCAAACTGGGCCAGAACTTTTAATCCTCCTGCCTCAGCCTCCCACAGTGCTGAGATTACAGGCAAGCAATACCTCATTTAACCCTAATTACCTCTTAATGGACCCACCTGCTTGGTGTGGTGGTATATACCTGTAATCCCAGTGCTCTGGGAGGCTGAGGCAAGAGAACTGCAAATTCAAGCCTTGTGTGCTGGTCCCTGGGACAGGGCTGTACCCATGAACAATGGCAAGGTATATCCCCACAGGGAGTCTTGAAAACCCTGTGGCCCCAGTGTCCTGACACCTGTGTTCTGTCCCTGCACAGATCAGCTGGACATCATCTCCATGGCAGAGACAACCATGATGCCAGAAGAGATTGAGCTGGAGATGGCAAAGATCCAGCGCCTCCGGGAAGTCTTGGTCAGACGGGAGTCTGAGCTCAGGTTCATGTGAGTGGAGCAGGGGAGTGGGAGAGAAGAGGAAGAGGTGGGGAGGGAGGAGTCCTGGAGACCCTGAGCATTACTCATGGCCGACTGCGTGCTGGCCACTGGGATAGAGGTGTTACAGCCATTAAAAAGATCTCATTTGATTTTCATGAGCACCTAGAGAAGACCCTGGGATCGAGTGCGGGCCACTATGACTCCAGAGACCCAGAGCTTTCCATGTCACCCATGTGAGATGGGAGAAAGGGAGAGAAGGAGGAAGACAGAGAGATGGGGACCCAGAAATGGTACTGCACGCTATGGCCATTAAGGGCACACAGTCTGGGCTCAGATAAGCCTAGGACTAAAAAGAAAGTGCTGTGTGAGCTTGGACAGGCTACTTGACTCTCTGAGCTTCAGTGGCCTCGTGTGCAAAATGGCAGAGAAGAATGCCCCTCTCATGGGGTCTCTGGCAACCTCAGAGCCTCCAGAGCACCACATTCCTGAGTTCCAGGGGGCCTCGCAAGAGAGAATGTCGTTTCAAACTTGGGCTCTGGCAGACATGAGAGTTTAAAAGCCCAAAACAACCAACACAACAAAAACAGAAGGTTAGGAGGTCACACGGGCTACTCCTGCCATCTTGGGGCCCATGGAGGCCAGCTAGGGTCCAGGCCACTAAGAGAAATTGAGAAGGTGGAGGTGCAGGCCATTTTTGCAGGCTACTGGAGGGGATCTCCTGAATCAAGAGCACATAGCTCTTATCAAAGGGGAAGGTGCTGTAATACAGAAATATGTGCACATCCATGTTGACAGTGGCACAATTCACAGTAACTACACTGTGGAAACAGCCTAGGTGCCCATCAGCAGATGCATGAATAAAGAAAATGTGGTAAATGGAGTACTATTTAGCCATAAAGAAGAATGAAATCATGTTATTTGCAGGAAAATAGATGGAATTGGAGATCACTGAGTTAAGCAAAATAAGCCAGACTCAGTTAAATATTGCATGCTTTACATAAACAATCTAAAAATAAATAAAAAATAAGAGAGATGTCAGGAAACTAGAAGGTAGACTTTTAGAGACAGAAGGAGGTCAGGGAAGGAGAGAAGAAAGGAAAGGAAGGGTAATAGGGATGAAACTAATCAAAATACTCCTATAGCAATATACCAAGATGAATCTCATTGTTCTGCATTATTAATATGGACCAATAAAAAAAATTGAAGATGCCTACACCTGAGGTGAACGTATTCAGGCAAGAGATGTGCACAGGGCAAAGAACAGAACTTTGGCTTCCATAGGCAGCACAAATAAGACAGGAATTACCAGGGGCCAAGGTAACCTGTCCCATGAAAAATTCCAAAGCAACCTTCCCACCAAGCCCACTGGACCCAGAACTCATGTGACGCTGGCGTACTCCATGGTTTCAAGCATTTAAAGCATGAAAAGTGAATAAAATAAAACCAAATGTGTGTGCTTATAGAAAAAATAAAACAAAGGGCTGGGGGTGTAGCCCACTGGTAAAGCACTTGCCTTGGATCAGTAAGGCCCTGGGTTCCATCCCTAGCACTGCATGAATGAATGAATGAAAGAATGAATGAACCCAAAAGAAGTAACCCAGCTGGATGATTCTCCCAACTTCCTGTTAGCTCCCTACCCAACCTTCTGCTAGGGGCAGGAACATTTGTTTCCCCTTCCAAGTATGCACCAAGTCCTTTGTCCTTTCTCTCACTGACTTCTCACAACACCATTTTAAGGGCAGCAGTATAATTTTCCCAATTTGTAGCTGAGAAAGCTGAGTGTTAAACAACTTGCCCAAGGCCTCCCAGCTAGTAAACAGGAGAGTTAGGATTCAGACCAGCTCTTCCTATCTTAAAATCTATATTCTCACTGTGACATTATATGACCTCTCTCCCCCCTAAAATGGACCACGTGTTCCCCACTGCCATTCATTCAGCTCTTGGCATGTGCCAGGGCCTGTGCTAAACACTTCCTGTACATGATCCTTTCCCCCTGGAGCCCTCACAGAAAGCTTCTAGAACATTCCCACTTTATGGATAAGGGACATCACCCCTTTTGTCTAGAACCAATCCATGAGCATTCAGAAGCAAACCCTCCCTGTGTTTTCAAACACTGGCAGAGAACACTTCATAGATGCTTTATAGCACTGAAGATCCTTTCACCCCAAAGGTGCTCAGGAGGGCCAGAGGATGCTGCTGCAGGAACAGTGGCTGCCACTTTATGTTTATTGACCTTTTTGTCATATGCGAGTCCTTTGTGCATGTCATTCCCCATATGTGGCACTTGCCGGCACACAGCAAGTGCTTAAGGATAAGAATAACATTTGTGAAGCACTAGCTCTGGGCCAGGCCTTGCACTAAGCTCTTGACTTTTGATCTCACTGAATTTCCCCTTTAAGACCATGAGATCCACCGCTTAGGGACAGATGTTAACAGTAGACACTTGAATAAATCAAATTATCTAAAGGATCTGGGACATCCATGTACTCAGGACACAGTGTGAAGGCTCAGCAATCCTCTCCAGGAGAAGGGCCAGCTTCCAGGCCCCCACAAGTCTCACTTCAGAGATGATGAAGGAGATCAAACAGGAGCGGAGGATAATAATGCTCCCTCCCAGCTCAGCCTTCTGCAGGATGCAGCCTGCCCAGAGGTGCACCCATCTCACCAATCCCAGATGCACAAAGGACTCTGAGCCAGCCTGGATAGAGGATGTGGCACATTCAGATCTGGACAGACTCCCCATCCATCATCCTCAGAGCTTCCAAGCCAACAGGCTGGGAGCCAAATGTATGCTGAATTCAGTCGCACAGCTATTCCTCAGAGCTGATTCCTTCCACAGATGTGGGCTTATCCTGCAGGTAAATTCTGTTCTTATCTCCACCTTGGGGAAGCCCAGGGTAATGGACAACCAAGCTAGGATGCACTCTAACCAGAGTGTTTATTAAATAAGTGAATCAGTGGAAGAGGGAAAGAGGGAAGGGAGAGAGGAAGGGAAGAAGGAAGAGACCAAGATTTACCAAGATAATGCCTTTAAGGAACGTAAACTCCATGAAGATAGGGACCTTGTGTCAGTCAGCTTTCTGTTACTGTGACAAAATAACCTGAGAAAATCAACTTATAAAAGGGAGGGTTTATTTTGGCTCAGAGTTCCAGTTCATAATCATCTGGCTCCATTGCTTTGAGGCTGAGGTGAGTCAGAATATCATGGTTGGGGAGTGTGTTGTCGGGGTGCTGCAGCCAGGAAGCAGAGAGAGCGAGAGCAAGAGTGAGAGAGAGAGTGAGAGAGAGAGAGAGAGAGAGAGGGAGAGAGAGAGAGAGAGAGAGAGAAAGAGCCAGCAAGGACCTGCCAGGGACAAAATGTACCCTTCAAACTCACACCACTAGTGACCCATTTCCTCTACCAGGCCCCACCTGCCAAAGTTCCCACCACCTCCCAGAGACCATTCAGCTATGAACCTGTCCATGGATGAGTCCACTGATGGTGCCAGAGCCTTCACCCCTCACTCACCTCCCCAAAGCCCCAGCTCTGAGCTCTGCTGCTCTGGGGACCACCCTTCACCACAGCAGCCTTCGCGGGCATTTCCTATCTAAAACATGCCGGGTCTTACCTTCCTCTCTGCTGTACCTTTCCCACATCTCGAGCAGCTCCTGGTATTGTCAAGCCAATTCACACTTCCCAAATGTGCAACATGCCCACCCTTTCCCCCCAACAACTCTTTCATGGATGTGCATACACAATTTCACACATGCTGGAGCCCGTGGCATAGAGTAACAAGGAAACAAACTTCCAGCTCTCATTCGGCATTTTCAGGCTCAGAAGAGGAAGCTCCAAGTGAAAAGAACGTGACAGTGCTCGGCTGACGGGCCATAAGGGCCACAGTGAGACTGCTTCGGTCACACCTGCTCCAAAACAGTCACCTCACTCCCACCGCCTGCCTTGGGGCCTGTGTGAGTCAGCCCACATTACATGGCTGACGATGTCCTGGGTTCTGGGCATTCTGCCACGTGTGGATCCTTCTAAGAACAGGTTTGGTGGATGCCGCCTTCCCCATACTCACCCCAAAGTTTAGAAATTTTTTTGGCTCTCCTTTTGCCTATGTCCTACCCTTACCGGCTCTGCCTTGCATCCTTTTCCTCCTGTCAGGATGCTGAGGAAGGAGAAGACCAAGGTTTACCCATTCCCAGGGAACTGCTGGACCTCAGCTGAGTTCAGGAGTCACCCTGGCACTCCCGTGTCCTTGGTCTGTGACCTTGGGCCCAGGACTAAGCACAGAAGAGTTTCTGTTTCCTGGGGGTCCTGATATGCCTTGATGTACAGCGTGCACTGCACACACCCACTCACTTAGCTTTTTAAAATTCTCACAAGAACCCCTTTGGGCTGGCTTCCATTCCTTTTACTTATGTCTGAGGAAACTGAGGTGGGAGACGCAAGGTGACTTGTTAAGGTGAGGCAGAACCAGGACTTGAAACCCAGATGTTTGTTTTGACGGCAGAGGCTGGAACCCCAAGCTGTTGTGTTGCGTTTATTCCCGACACAGGAGCGGAGCCCTTTTCTCTTTGCTTGGGGAGCTCCCGGTTGGATGCCACAGTCCTACATCACATCTTGTCTTGCTTCACCATCTTTAGTTAAGTGCAGCAGAAACCAAATGGATTCCACTTTGGGTTTTTCCATACCCTTTCTTTGGACAGGAACAATTCATTTAAATTTATCTTGGAGCCCAAAGTGATGAGCCCTAATTTAGTCACGGTTTGTAATGTCAACGTGCGGGACATTTGCTGCAGACCCCTATTCCCCTCAGATTCTCACCACAACGCTGACTGAGCTCTTCCTGTGGCTCCAGCCTCATGCTGAGCCCTTTGTACACTGTCACATAACCGCTGCCAAGTGCTCACTCTCGGAAGGACAAATCGAGTCACCCCCTGCATAGCTGCTGGCCCCAACCCAGGGCCATGAGGTCAGGCTCACAGCCTGGCCACCAGTAAGCCCCTGGCTGGTCTCCCACATGGCT